ACAGTTGGCAGAGAATAACTGTTAACAATACTGAGTGTTAGTTTGATATATTAAAGCCTGACACCGAGCCAATACTTTCCAAGGAATGCCGTACACCAGAACTGATGTACAGTATCGCCTTATATTTTAACTTAATAATAATTCTTTGTGCAGGCGATGAGTCACAATAACGTGGCTGAAGTATGTTGACCAGACCACACACTAGAAATTGAAGGGATGACGACGTTTCGGTCCGTCCTGGACCATTCACAATCGACTTGAGAATGGTCCAGGACGGACCGAAACGTCGTCGTCCCTTCAATTTCTAGTGTGTGGTCTGGTCAACATAATTATTTGTGTTGGTCGACAGGCAGTCAGTGTATGTTTATACACGTTAGGCTTATATCAAGGTTCCCTGAGGTCGAAACTCCTTGGTACTTCATGGCTACTAGGTGAACAGGTACATTAGGTAATAGGCAATGCACCCATCCATTTCTGTCTCGCCCAGGTTTCGAACCCGGAAGTCTCGATTGTCAGTCATGAATAAACCTGACTGCACTACCAGGACCCTAAACTTAACTTAAAAATATGTATCCATTAGCTTTTCTCGGGGACAAAAAATTTGTATGTGATGTGATTAACACTCAAAAACAATAATGAAGTCTCTCATTTTAAAAGACTCTTAAATCTTCCGTTTAAAAAATTAGGATACAATGACTCGGCTGCTTAAATTACCACCTAGTTTTTGTTACAAAAAGTAAGAAACTACAGTCTAGTCGACAATGCAATGATAGGGCTCGCTTGAGGCTGAGGTGGTCTAGCACACCCACCTGGCCCGATCATCAGTTGGCTGGTTCATAACCCTGGTCTTCACTACATCCACTGGTGTGCCCATAGTAGCTCCTATCAGGCCTGAGCACGCACTGTAACAACAATAACCAATCCGCATATTCTACATTCACTCATTCAAAACTTAGACTAAGACAACAAATAAATTCCATTCCCTCAATCATTTGCACAACCAAAAAATATAGAGCTAAACGTAATGAAACACCCACTTCTGAACAGCCCTCAGTAGCTCCCTGGTGCTTAACCTTTCACTGCAAATGTGATTCCCGATCACTAGATTCCCGAGATGCATGAGAACTATACATGTGAACACCGATACATATAGGACACTGTAGATAAAGTCTGAAAATGTTTGGTTGGGAGTGTGACTGTTAGTCACTTGGGATAGAGTGACTTTAATTGAATAAAAATGAGAAGGGACCAGTGTGCACATAACCATGGTAAAAGGAATAAGTCACCCTTCTGTCTGACTCTACAACAGTTCCAATGAATGTGGCACGATTTTTATATTTATTCAATCTTATAAATGGTTAATCTTAGTAATGGCAATAAGGTCTCTTTGAATGAACTTGAGTAAAAACTTAATGATACTCTGAGTAGCAGGCAATGCATTCTTTAAAAGTAGAAGTACTGCCTAAGCTCAGTATGATTTGGATTACTGAGCTTAGACAGTTCAGTACTTCTACTTTTAAAGAATGGGGGCTACTCCCATTCATGTTGGCTAAATATTCAATTTAACCAAATTTCTTACCAGAAGTGTCACAGTTTTTGACACTTTTTCACACAACCCAATTACTCCTGCTATTTACCCACTTACTCCTACATTTACCCATGCATTTTCATGGTTTACCTACTTACCCCACTATTTACTCGAAAACAATGAACTCAAATTTGGGTTATCGGAATTTGGATTACCGAGCTTTACAGTACATCCACAAGAACAGGTTCCATAGGAGGGATGGGGGGGGGGGAAAGAGGGGCAGGCTGAATCACCCCTATACAAATTTCCAGTATGTATGCATGCAAAATGAAAATATCATAAACAAACTAGGTTTAAATATTTTCATAAGAATGGAAAAAATAGAAATTAATACTTTATTTCCCTATGACCTTTACTGGTTATTCAATAATTTTGTACACCAAATGTTTCTTAAAATTCTTATTTTTTTGTTAAGGATGTGGAAAAAAAAACTTTTCAGATCGCCACACCAATATTATTGCAATTAAATTTTGTCATGTCATTGAATCATAATTTTTTGTTTATAGACAGAACTGCAAAACACTAAGGGTAAATTCACCTCTTACAGCCTACCACATCCAAACTCTAGCACCTTTTTTGGTAAAAAAATCTCTCCATCTTTCTCCATCTCCAAAAGGTTTTTCTCAAACTCTCCATCACTGCAGAGAATAAGGCACCATAACATGCCTGAAAACACATAACCCAACCAACTCATTTCAAATTATAGTATGTGATGGGATGGGCTATGTGAAGACAGCTTTATGTGTGTGGGGTTGGCATGCTATTATGACATTCTCTGAAAAAAAAAAATGTTGAATGTAATGAAACGCCATTTTCTGGGTGAACCCCGAAGGCTCCCCGGAGCTTACTGGGCTGATATGTATGTATTAGACCGTGGCATCAGCAATTGGAGTTCTTCTGCCTACCAGGGACCATGAGTCAGAATCTGGCCCTCAGAAAGGCTAGGCCCACGACAAAACAGAGCCAGTCTCTGAACCCCGGATGAATCGGGACATACCGATACGCATCCTGGAGGTCCAGGGACATCATCCAAGCACCTGGCTCCAGAAAAAACGAGCCTTGGACAGAGTAGTCATCCGAAAAGAGGGGCAAAAGACCCAAGGGTTCAGACGGGACAAGACCAGTATGAACCTCAGGTCTGCACAGTCCCGTTTCAGAATTGGAAATAGGCAGGAAACACACCTGAGGGATGCCGTCGTTTCCAGGTTTTAACACAATTGCCCCATGTACCTGAGCTCTGTCAATAAGCTGTTCTATCTCTTTGCCCTTACTTCATTACACGCATTCATTGATGCATCACGCTATTGTGATTTCTGTGTATAATGAAGTAAGGGCGAAGAGGTTCAGCAACTTATTGACAGGGTTCGGGTGCATGGGGGAATTGCCTCCGAGACAAAACCTGGTTTGTGTCCCGGAGAGACTGCAGGATCCGTGGTAGGTCAAGTTGATTTCCCGGTTGCAATTCTTATCCATGTTGTAGCTCAGTCAATTAAGGAGTGTCTGGGATTCTCTCAGACATAGGTTCGAACCCTCATCACGTCCCTTGTGGATTTGTTCACTCTACTTGCTCTTTCGGTTAGCAATTTTTCACCAGCTGTAATTTGTTTTGGGATTACTACCTACTTTCTTAGTAGTTTATTACTACTACTTTCTGGGTGCTTGACCTGGTAGATGGCAGACATAGACTGCTTCCAATTACATGGGGGTGTCTATAGGCCATTGTTTCTCATGCCTCTCTGAGGGGGCCAGCTTCTGGCATTGATCCCCGCTAGGCTTAGAACTCCAATTGACTGTTGCCTCGGTCTAATATATACACATCCGCCTGGTTTAGCTCCGGGGAGCCAAAGGGGATCTCCGCAGAAAATAGAGAATAACGTAATATTTCAGGAAAATTTGGCTTATTAGGCCACTTGGCCTATTATGTACAACAAACAAACATACATACATGCAGAATAATCACAAAAACACCTGACTCAGTTATGTGAAAGTATCCACTAGGAAAATGAAACAAAACGTTCCGAACATTTTTGTTTCAACACACAATCAAGAAAATACTGCACAGTCCTGGTATTACTTTGACAAATACTGCACAGTCCTGGTATTACTTTGACAATGTGTTGAAACCCGAAAAAGTTTGGAAATTTCGTTTCATTTTCTTAGTGGATATTTATGCATCCAGCCATCCATACATATATATACATACTGTACATCCATACATACATACATACATACTTCCATACATGTATCCATATATACATACATACTTCCATACATATATCCATATATACACACACACATGTATATACATCCATCCATACACACATACATCCATGCATCTATACACAAATACATTCATATATCCATGCATCCATCCATGCATACACATATCCATCCATCCATCCATATCTTTATTCCCTATGTAATAAATTTCAACATCAATGAAACTGCTCATTAAAGATTTCATCTTTGTTCTCCATCTTTACTTATGTGTTACTTAAGCCAGAAAAGCTTAAGAGCTTCATACAATACAGAAGACTCGGATAAAATATATCTTCATAAAGGAGTCCGCTCATTTTAACCAAGTCGGTTTCAAAGCAAGTGAAAGAGAGGATGTATTCCCTCTCTCTCTTTAGGTCATGAAAATAATTATTCAATCAATATCTGCCAGTCTTTTCAGTACAGTTGTGATGTGCTGAATATTTTAAATTCTTGAATGTCAAGCAATCTGTTTTTGGGTGATTTTAGTACAACTCATATTTATGCACTAGTATACTGCATGTCTACAACAAATTCTGAATTTAATAGTGGCTATGAAGTTAATAAATATGGTAGACTATATTCAGCCTGTAAGAAGAAATCAGATGAACTTGTAGAAAATATCTCTCTTTACTAAACACTGATGTACGTACTGTACTGTAACTGCACAAATATTTTTGGAAAACCTTTACTATGCAGGTACTTAATATAATTAGCAACTAATGCATCAAGTAATTATTTAATTCTTGATACAAACTATTATTCTCAAAAACAAATTCATTAAATGATATAGGTAATAGACTTAGATATAACTGTAATTAATAGTTAAAATTTAATATTATCCACTAAGCCCTGCAGCTCATAAACCTATTAATATTTTGATATTTAGTGTTAAATAAAAATTTTTGTTGTCTTTGAGTCAAATGTTTTCAATTAATATACCAAAGAAGGATTTTTTAATGTGTAAATAATTTTTTTACCATCACCTTGAATGGAGCACATGTTCTGGCAAATGACTTTAAATTCAAAATCCAAATAAATGATTTTAGTGTACCATCAGATGAAAAAGGAAATCTAAAATTTTCATGACTAATTGAAATATAAAACGAGAGAAAGAAACGAAGTAATGATGCAATTAAATAACAAATGGTCTTACCTGGACAAGGCGTGCGTCCAGTAGTTATCAGACAAGGCCCAGGTGTTGACAAAATATCTCTTCACAGAGTCGTATGTGGTAAGGTCTCCTAAATTGACGAACGCCGAGCGATACACGTTGGGCATACACCCCTTCCACAAACCCCGAAGACCTCCTGCATTGTAGATTTTTACGAATGCCTCACTTGCACTATGTATACTGAAAATATTAATTTGTAATAAAATGTGTGTTTAACAAGACAAAAATAGTGATAAGATAATAAAATGGTCAAGGGATAGCTTATGTGGAGGAAACATAGAATAATGTATTGTAAATGCAACTTTATTGTATAGGAATACAATAAATTCCTGGTTCTTTCAACTCTAAACTTTACATTCATTTGAGTCATCAGTACCAGCAACCCTCCATTGAAGTATACTTGTATTATGAATATTTGTTCCAATATCTTTCATTTATCTAGTCATTTATAATTTGTTAAAGAAGAAAAACTTTTAGTTATATAGCTGGAGCACACATGCTTCTTGTTCACACCCACCCAAACTCTCTGGTGTTATCTGCCTCACCACACACATTTTCATCTGTTCTGGTGTCTCTAGAAACCTGTGTTTCTTGTTGCATCTCATCTCTAATGAACTTAAAGAGGCCAATAAGTGTAGTGAGTCCAGTGTTATACGGAGGGTATAGTATATTTGCTACAAACTCCACAGATGTTAATGACAATCAAAACTAAATCAAGTAACCTTTCTGAGATACCAACCCTAATTTATAAAACCAGCGTTGAATGTAAAGAAATCCCCCCCCCCCCACCTCTAGTGAGGCAAAGGAATCAATGGCCTAAGACCACTTTAAATGTAAAGTTTAACATCTTTAACATCTTTGCCACCACCAGTGAAGCACCCAGAAAGATAGGCGAATCAAAACAGACTACTGCAGGATATATGAATGAAACTGAAGCCCAAACATTGCCAAAAGAACAAAGAACTCCTCAACAATGAAAACAAATAACTAAAATTTTGTGAATCAAGCAGTCTCTCGTAAAATGGGGCTAGTTTGCCCCATCTACCCTCACATTTGGAGGAGGAGGGAGATGGCCCGGGTCACCCAGGCCCCCACCGTTCAGTTCTATAACGATAAAACACGGCATCAACATGGAGGAAGGGTGTCAGGGAATCTCCGGAGAAAAGAAAAAGATAACATCTACGTCAGAAAGAGCTGTAGAAAAAGAGAAAGTAGTAGATAAAATTGTTGGCCTCGTGGAAGGTCTTACTACCATTGAGAATGTCTGCAACTACAGGAGGATTGGAAAGTACGTAAAAGGGAAAGATCGACCTTTGAGGATCACCCTAAACGATGCCAAACAGATGGAAGAAGTACTAAGGAATGCTAGAAAATTACAAAGTGATGAGGTAGGGAAAGTATGGTCGTTAAGACGAGATCTTTCAAAAAAAGACAGAGAAGCTGGAAGAAGAAGCACATCAACAAACTGGAAAAGGTGCAAAGACATGCCACTAAGTGGCTCCCAGAACTGAAGGACAAGAGCTACTAGGAGAGGTTAGAGGCATTAAATATGCAAAAACTTGAAGATAGAAGAAAAAGAGGCGATACGATCACTACATACAAAATAGTAACAGGAATCGATAAAATTGATAGGGAAGAATTCCTGAGACCCGGAACTTCATGAACAAAGGGTCATAGATTTAAACTAACGAAACAAACCTGCCAAAGAAATATAAGAAAATTCACTTTTGTAATCAGAGTGGTAGACGGTTGGAACAAGTTAGGTGAGTAGGTGGTGGAGGCCAAAACCGTCAATAATTTCAAAGCGTTGTATGATAGAGTGCTGGGAAGATTGGACACCACGAGCGTAGCTCTCATCCTGTAACTACACTTAGGTAATTAATTACACAAAATGGCCGTGACACACGACCTAAAGCTACATATAGCTGCTGAGGACCAGGGACATTAACAAGATTCCTGGCAGTGAAGACCCTGGCTGACCACAAAACCTCCATGCACAAATACTGGCTCAAGATATACTGCATACAGACAAAGCGCATGACAGACCCCCAGAATATGTTTGCAAAGCCAGCCAAGAATTGGCAAAGAACTGAACAGCAAGAGCATGAGGAAAGACCATAAGCCGGTGAGACTAATGAAACCACAGACAACCAGAAAACAAACTCAGGAACAGGGAAACCAAGGCAAAGGGACAACCCAGAGGGATTCCACTGAAGAAGAACCGATGGCACGAAGGAAACAGCAAACCCCACCGAACGCAATACAAGACACATCACGAGCCAAACCAACAAACCACTAAGATTGGGGGACTCCTTCAGAAGTAAACGACTCTGACTCCACCAGAAAAGAAGGAGCCAGAAGAAAATAAACAAACCACCCATTAGGGCAGGAGCAAAAACCCATCACTGGAGGAGAGCAAGAAACTTGTCACCAGATGACTAGAAGCAGGAAAAGCCAAAATAAGACTTGAAAGAACAAAACTCAGACTGAAGGGGACACCATAACCAAGAAAAAAAAAAATGGAGAGATGAAGACTTAAAGAGAAGTCCAGCTACATAATGGACTGGCTCAATCTGCTGAAAGAGGTGAAGCTGCAGGAAGACCCCTGGGTTCAGACACCGAACAAGCAGTGCCTGAAACCAAGGCTGGGTCGGCCACCAAGGAGCCAACAGGACAAATAACCCCACTCCCTTGTTAAGTCTCCAAGTGAGCCAAGACCTGGAGCAACAGCGGAACCGTGGGGAAGAGGTACAGGTAACCCCACCTCGACCAGTCCTGCTTGAAGGCATCGACCCCGACTACCTCGCAGTCGGGGAAGGACGCCACATAATACGGGAGACAGCTCGACCACGCCGACGTGAAGAGGTCTACTTCCGGGAGCCTGTATGTCTGGCAGAACCAACTGAAGGAGTCGCTGTCGACCGTCCATTCCGTGGACAGGGGAATGAACTGGGACAGGCCGTCTGCCAGGACGTTGGACACCCTCTGAATGTGAATGCCCAGGAAAGCCAAACCTTGAGAACTCTGCAGACGAGTCACCTGAAGCGACTAGCCCCAAAGAGCCAAGGACCGCATCGAACCCCTGAGGTTCAGGCAATGAACAACCAGGGAGCAGTCTGAATGGAGACAGATCGTCGAACCTCGAGAGATCTTAATCGACTGAGCTACGACATGGTCAAAAGGAGTTGAAACCGAAGTTCTACTGAACTTACTGGATCCTGCAGTCTCTCCAAAGCACAAACCAGGGTTTTACCTAGCTCCCCCCATGCACTCGAGCTATGTCAATAGATCGGTCTCCATCTTCGCCCTTACTTCATTACACACAGAAATCACAATTGTGTGATGCATCAAATGAACAAATCCACAAGGGCCATGACGAGGATGTGTAAAACCTTGGTTTGTGCCTCGGAGAGGCTGCAGGATCCAATAAGTTCAGTACAACTTCGATTTCAACTCCTTTTGACCATGTCGTAGCTCAGTCGATTAAGGAAGCGTCTGGGATGCTCTCGGATGCAGGTTCGAATCCTCGTCACGGCCATTGTGGATTTGTTCATTTGATGCATCATGCAATTGTGATTTCTGTGTGTAATGAAGTAAGGGCAAAGATGGAGAACGGCCTATTGACATAGCTCGAGTGCATGGGGGGAGTTGTGTAAAACCAAGTTGAATAATATGCTGTAAGCTGAAAAAATGCTTCATTCTTACAAAACTACTTTTAGAATGCAAACACTCTAGTTCAGTGGCTCAAAAAGAAAAACATTTGGTTACTACATAATGACTGCAGTTATGGAGGCATCACATCTAATGTGATTCATTTTTGGTACTGAAACTATACAGGCTATTCAGCACCATATTATGCAGGCTATTAAGTAGCTTAACTTTATACTTTATTTATGACAAATGATCATTTAATATTGGTAAATGCACATAGCTTCCATCCTCTTCAAAAGGCATTTCCCAACTGATTTTGGCTAGGCAAATAAAGTAACCGTGACTTTAGTTGTACATTTGCTGGTCCCTTTATCAGGAACTCAAGGAAATGTCTCTGACTCACCGTGGGGCCTTTCCTTCAAGGCGTCTTCTTCCCTCCATTTGCATTTGCACTTTGATCAAATCTGCCGGAGAGGCCAGGAACTGAGCAATGCCTCCTACCAGGATTCCTCCTACTATCGCTTGCCTTTAGGAAAATAAAATACAAGTTTTAATTATTGGAAAAATGCTTAAATGATAAAAGTGGATGGGGTAGAAAATGAGGAGGAAACAGCAACTGGTAAAAGATGAAAAAGACTGTGATACAACATCAAACAAAAGTGATATGATGAAAAGTAAGTGAAAGGGAATTAAAGTACAGTAATACAGAGATGAATTAAGGGATAAAGATGTGGTTTCACACAACTCAACCTTGTCATCAACTGTAGCAGGCTATAATTTATCCTACAGTACATTTAGACAATAATGTTTGCATACATCCATTGGCTTTGAGTTTAAATCAATAATACAGTTAATGAACTGGTTGGGAGAAACTAATGTGAATGTGACATTAGAGAATGACATCATGTTAAACAGAAAGATCATTTATTTCAATTTCTGAAAACTGGAATGTGCCAATTCCAAATAAATCTAAAAGCAGTTTTAGATTTTAAGTAGAGTCCCAGTATTTCTGGTTCATTATCCAAAAGTCAGCAGTCACTTTATCAGTTTTAAGACTCTCATACCTACTGTGTTTACCCTGTCAGTGCTAAATCATTTACTCATCCTTATTACTTCATTTCTCATTTTCAAGGTGAGGCAAAGCATATGCCAAGAGAAAATAGGGTAATGAAATGTCACTGTTGACATGTTGGCAACATGTCAACAGCTCACCTATGTTTATGGCACTGGTACCTCAGGGGTCACAATCAATATAATAGGCTTCTGTGACTATCCCAATCCACCAGGAGAATGTTGTTATTATCAATAAACTACATTCTATATTGTAGCTATCAATTTACTACTAAACTACAACTACTCTACTATGATAACTACTATGTAGTTATCATAGCTCAGTCGATAAAGCTTCGGCCTCACACATGTGGGGTCCATGACTAGTCTCTCCTTGAGCCCAGGTGAATGGAATATCAAAGATCAACCCGCTACAGAAGTGAACCATCCAAAACAGGTAAAATGAGGTTACAAAACACACAACTTTTCTAAGAGAAATGTTTGGAAATAACCAAATTATAAAATAATTCTTGGTAGCTGGCAAATGACTTCCCCACGCCAAATCTGACTCCTTTACTCACTAGCACGGACACTCGGGGCTCTGGTGAGGTAACAACCTCTCTCTCTCTCACAAGCCTCACCAAACATTTTGACACAGAGGAAGTGCATCACAGAAAGCCTTGCATAACTGCTTTAAATCTGTTTACTTTGCATACAGAAAACCAGCGTTGAATGTAATGAAACGCCATTTTCTGAGTGAGACCCGGAGGCTCCCCGGAGCTTTACCGGTTGATATGCTAATGTCAGACTTTGGCATCAGTCATGTGAATGGAGTTCTAGGGCCTACCGGGGACCATGGCCAGAACCTGGCCCCCTCAGAGAGGCAAAGGGGAGCAATGGCCTATAGAAACCCCCGTGTGGATGGAAGCATTCTATGTCTGCCATCGACCGGGTCAAGCATCCAGAAAGGTAAGCATTCCAAAACAAACCCCTATTCTGGTGAAAATTGCTACCTAAAGCCAAACTAGTGGATAGAACTCTTCAACAGAAAACAAGGAAACTAGTATGACGTCATACGTCACCGCGCCGCTGTCTGCGCAGCTCCCCCCTCCCAGGGAGGGGGAAGGGGGAGCCCCAGACCTCCCACGCCGGCTATCCACCCATCAGTTCTGAGGCTGGATGTCAAAACACGCGAAAAACTGCCGACCGGAGGGAGGGAGGGTTGCCGGGGAGCCTCCGGGTCTCACCCAGAAAATGGCGTTTCATTTTATTCAATGCTGGTTTTCTGGGGGGAGCCCCGTCGGCTCCCTGGAGCTAACTACCCACAGAGGAAGGTCAAAGGGACAGAACCGGGAGGCGGACACCACGCACCCCCCAAGGAGGCGAGACAACCGGCAGCAAACGCCAACCCAAGGCGCCACAGCCCCGAAAAGTCCCGGGAACAACACGAGAACAACGAGCAGCAAGGCCCCTGCACGAACACCAAAAATCCATGCCCGAAAGACCGCAAGGCCACGTCGCCCAGACGGCAGCGAGAGCAGCAAAACCACGAACGCCATAGGCATGAGGGAAGAACACAGGCAGCTTAGCCGCAAGAACACGGCTGACCACCCGGGACACTATCACCCGCGAACCGGGAAGAACAGAACCGGATCAACGCAAAACGCGCTCCAGACCAAAACACCGTGGCACGCAAACAACAGCGGAGGGCCGCCACTGAACACAAAAAACAACACACCCCCGGCCCGACCAACGAAGCACCAACACACCCTGGACCCCTCCAGAACGCAGCAGCCCCACCCCGCGCCAGAAAAGATGGAGACTGCTGCCACCGAACAACCAAAACGCTAAAACCGAAGGAGCAAGAAAACTCAGCGACACAACCCCAAGAGGCAAAGGCCAAAAGGAAAGAGCCGACGAAAAAACACACCGGAACCGAAGGGGCACTACCAACCGAGGAGAAGACAGAGCACGCTGACCAGAGACCAGGATGGTGCAAGCGGCGCACGAACAGGCCGGAGGTGACACGACGCACAAGACAGCTGACTAATGGTGCAGAAGCAACACCAAGACCGAAAGCAAGCTGAAGCGGCTCCGCCCGCGCCGCACGAAAAGAGGCGACAGTATGTGGCAAGACGCTAACAAGAGTAACCACCTAAGAAGGGACAGGAAAAGGAAGGACCGCCAAAATACCCCATACTGCCGCCAAGAGAAGCACGCAGGTGGGACACCCACCACGAAGCCACCCGACCACCAACCGGAGGCGAGACCGCGAGGCAGAACATAAGCAGCCCCGACAAGGCCCCTTCGAGCTCAGGAAAAGGCGGAGCCGCGGGAAGATCTCGGGCGTGACCACCGAAACCTAAGCGGCACAAGGAGATGGAACGTCTGCCGAACAGAAAAACTCCCCAAAGCATGCAAGCCCGCCAGGAGTTCAGAAACGACGGGTCCGACGCGAGACATCGCAAGACCCCCAAAAAACCAACTGGCAGGGCAAGCTAGGAAACCAAATTAGGCGGAAGGGTCACCGCCAGAACAGTACCCGAACCAAGGGGTACGAACAACTGCAATAGACCGAGACAAGGAAGCACATCACAGGACACAGGCTGACAAACGCCTAAGAACACACACAGAACACCCCTGCTGCAGAGGAGGCAGGAAGAAAGAGCAGAAGCACAAAAACCCCAGGATAACAACCAGGGGTGGACAATCAGGCAGGGACAGAAAAACCCCCACGCAATCCCCAGGCACAAAACAGCAGCAAAGTGCCACTCCACACCCGGACACAGGAACAAGGACACGCCACCGTGAAACACAGTACCAATGCACACGTGCAGCAGCAGCAACAGGCACCACTGCAACATGCAACATGTAAATAGCAACACCCTTCTGCAAAGGCAGAGAACGGAGCAGGCAGACCCCAGACAGGGCCAATGGAGACACGGCAAAACCCCGCAGGCCCAGAAACCTGCACCAGGCGACCGATGGCGGAGAAACCCCGCTCGATACCTGCTGGATGAGGTACTGGGAGCTCTTTTACACCTCAAGCCCGGTCCAAGGCCAGGCTAGACCAGCCAGAGGGTGGCCCACCAGGCAGCTGCTAGGAGCTGTCCACCGGCCCACATACCCCCACAACCAGGACGGGCCGGAACTGCCATACGAAAACAGGCTAGTGCGCCCTGGAAGTCCACAGACGAACCAGCAAGAAGGCTTATGCTCGCAAGTAGGTCGTGTAACAAGCACAGACCTCTGATGGTAATACAGTGTTCCCCAAATGTGCCAATAGCACCACTGCACTCCACTGGTACTATCCCGCAAGTTTTACCAGATAGGCGGGACCCAAGAGCCAGAGCTCAAATCCTGCAAGCACAGCCAGGAGCCTTACCAGGTGAGTACAGAACCAACCCTACAACCCCAACACCTCACAACATTAAAAAGGAGGGTCCCCTGAATGACTCCAGCATGGGTTGGACATGCACATGAGGGGGACAGGAAGGGTTGAAAAAGGGACAGTCACTGGTGTGCGAACGGTCTCAGTCGTACAAAAATACCTAAATAAAGACAGGTATATAAACAACTCCGCATCCAGCGCCCGGCCAAAAGACGCCAGACCGCAGAACTCACCTGGCGAAAGGTGGCACGAACTTGACACGACTCAACCGTGCCCAGAAGAACCAGGGAGCACCGCCAGGTGAAGACGCCAGAGCCGGACCCTGCCGGACCCGCAGGAGAGCAGGGAGAGGCGAAGGAGGCGGTCCACACCCATGACACAGGGAAAACCGTGGTGTCCTCCCCACAACTGGGAACCAGGACACCCCCGGCGCGAAGGGGCACATACCGCAGCCAGGGAGAAGAACGAGAGGCGAAGCACTGTAGCAAAAAGGGCGCAAAACACCAGCACTGAAACACCGCCCAGACCAAAACAAACTCCACGGCGCATGCGCATAACACGCTGGCCGAACCGCACACCCTCTCTGCGGGAAGGCGCCAGCCAGGACTACTGCACGAGAAAAGTAGCCAAAAAGAGGAAGCAGGAACAATAAAACCGGCCAAAGAAGCAAAGAGCCCAAAAAGGAACCCAACCGGGCGACAAGGAGCCCAATCGGGCGACAAGGAGCCCATCAGGGCGACAAGGAGCCCAACAGGGCGACAAGGAGCCCAACAGGGCGACAAGGAGCCCAACAGGGCGACAAGGAGCCCAACAGGGCGACAAGGAGCCCAACAGGGCGACAAGGAGCCCAACAGGGCGACAAGGAGCCCAACAGGGCGACAAGGAGCCCAACAGGGCGACAAGGAGCCCAACAGGGCGACAAGGAGCCCAACAGGGCGACAAGGAGCCCAACAGGGCGACAAGGAGCCCAACAGGGCGACAAGGAGCCCAACAGGGCGACAAGGAGCCCAACAGGGCGACAAGGAGCCCAACAGGGCGACAAGGACGAGGAGCCGACAGACGTTCCAATAATGCGGAAAGTAGCGAAAACCTTCCCGCACCCTTGAGAACACAGAAGCCAACACTAGTCCCGAAGGCACACGAAGGCGCAGGCGCACCCGATATCAGAAGTCACGCAGAACCCCATCGAACGGGGAAACATGACGAAAACACCGTCCCAAAAAGGGGTGGGAGGAAACATCCACCCACAGGACGGAACCAACCGACTCAAAGGCCAAGGAACCGAGCCCGGGGAGGGGCCGACGCCCAACAGCACGTACGGCGAGTGGGGAGGAAAGACCCCACTCCGCGTAACCACAACCCCGCCTAGAGAGGGATAAAAACCCCCACGGGGTCCAACGGGGCCAAGGCCCCCCCAAGTCAGCCACTCCCCAGCCCCGGGAACCTACACGACAGGCCCCGGGGCCGAGCCGTTCCCCCAAAGCCCCGGCCGTACCAGAAAACCGGGGCAGCCGTGAAAACACTAAGGAAGGGAGCCCACTGGCAGACTCATACAACACGGCTGGAGGAACAGGCTCAAATGCCCACGTCACTACCCTGGAAGGGGAATTCCCCGAGACTGCCCGAGTCTCAACACCATCAAAAACTCCGCCCCGAACCCACAGATGGTAAGGAACCGGATGCAGGCAGGAAGGGTGATCCAGGGGAAAGACAAGGGGGCGTGGATGGAACCGAAGCAACCAACACCCCCCAAGTCCCAAAACGAACTACAACGGGGCAGCCCCGGGGCTCCCGGGGAGGAAACCACGAGAATGTTGCCACCACCAAGGCTCAAGTGCAATGCCCCTGCTGCCCGCACCCGCTTTGTTAGCACAACTGGGTAACCAAGCCACAACGAGCAACCAAACTCGCAGGACTCCGGGTCGAAGGTGTCACCGACCCCACAGGCAGCAGACGGAGGCAAAACAGAGAGTCACCCAGAGACACAGGGTGAGAGCAACCCTCAAACTCGCTGGAAGCGAGGGGGGGACTCTGGTGTCACATCCATCGGACCCGCGCGCCCCCAGGGGTTTCCCAGGGTCCCAAGCGTTTACTATAAGAGGACTCGCACTCAGGTAATCCCAGGCAGGGTACTGCTAACCGGCACCCAAAGCTACCAAACAACTTTCTAAGAGCTGAACCCCCGGGACGTGTACACTCACGGGGACCTAGCAGGGGGTACCACCAGAAAATACTCAGAACACAAGGGACACAAGGGGCAAGAACGAAGGCAAACCCCCCCCCCCCACCAGGTAGATAAACAAAAGAAAAAGAAAACCCCGCAAGAGGACAGCGTACCCAAGCGGAACAGAGCCGGCCGCTATGATTGGTAAAGACAAGTTGCACAGTACCCTGCGCCCCACCAGTGCAAAAACTGCCCCTTACTCTAAGGCGAACAAGGGAGACAGAACACCCGAGCACACAAAGAGCGGCCGAAAACCAAGCAGTAAACGGCCAAGCAGGGGCAGGACCCAAGGAACTTGTGGAAGGTGGCCCCAAGCCCCAAGATCAGTACTTACAGGGCACCTAGGGAAGGGAACCCTAGGCGCATGCAGCCCGAGTACTGGAGAATCACTCCCGGCTCTCGCACCACCTAGAAAACGGACACCACACTCTAGGTACAGTGCTGAAACAACCACTGGAGCCGGAGCACATAACCGTTGCCTATAGCATCAGCTGAAGAACTGATGGGTGGATAGCCGGCGTGGGAGTTCTGGGGCTCCCCCTTCCCCCTCCCGGGGAGGGGGGAGCTGCGCAGACAGCGCCGCGGTGACGTATGACGTCATACTACTGTAGTTTCCTTGTTTTCTGTTGAAGAGTTCTATCCTCTAGTTTGGCTTTAGGTAGCAATTTTCACCAGAATAGGGGTTTGTTTTGGAATGCTTACCTTTCTGGATGCTTGACCCGGTCGATGGCAGACATAGAATGCTTCCAACCACACAGGGATTTCTATAGGCCATTGCTCCCTTTGCCTCTCTGAGGGGGCCAGGTTCTGGCCGTGGTCCCCGGTAGGCCCTAGAACTCCATACACATGACTGATGCCAAAGTCTGACATTAGCATATCAGCCGGTAAAGCTCCGGGGAGCCGACGGGGCTCCCCCCAGAAAAGACCTGATTAATATATCTTATTTCTCATTTATAAACATGTACTTTTGCTCTTGACTTTTCCCACTGCCCTTTCATAAGGTAACTTGAATGCCCTAAACTGTTAACATCCATTGTTATGGCCTGAGTTTGCTATATTTAAAGTAATTACCAGGTAGGTTTTGTGAGAATAGCATATGAGTTTGTGAGAAGCCGAGTAAATTCTTTAGTTAATTTAATTCTCATGCAAATTATTCTTTATGTTAATTACAGTATAATAATAAAGTAATTAGTGGTGTGAGCATGTTAATCATATATACAGTATGTATATAGTATTTAGATACACGGGGAGAGGGGTATCAGTCAGCGTATCTGGACATTGTTGGGAGGTGAACAATCTGGAGGTGGAGGTTGCTCAATTAGATGAGCAATGTTGTCAAATGAATATCTGTTTTTCCATATTGGGTTATTTGCTGTATCGAAATTGGAGGACTTAGTAGCAGGATACTGAATATATATTAAAATAGTATTTGTAGGTCGATAACAGCTTGACTGAGAGCATAACTGCAGAAATAGCATCTTTTTGTGTGTGGAGCTTTAAGAAATATATTTAAGACATTGTATTTTCTCATTTGAGTGGTTATCTTGAGGTTATCTTGAGATGATTTCGGGGCTTTAGTGTCCCCGCGGCCCGGTCCTCGACCAGGCCTCCACCCCCAGGAAGCAGCCCGTGACAGCTGACTAACACCCAGGTACCTATTTTACTGCTGGTGGCTACTGAAATGGAGTAAGTATGACTGGGAAACTCTGCTAGTAATATTGAAGTATATCTATTTCTGTTTACAGTTTTTGCACCGAGTTCTCATTTACTGGATTAATTACAGGCTGTGTAGTACTTATAGATAATAGTTGTAATCAGTGGATTATCAATATCATGTAATGCTAGAGTTTCTGGTAACACCTGTCCAGCCTCTTTACTGGATACAGGTACAGTAATTATATTTAACAGATGTTATACATTAATTGTAACAATTATTTAGTTTTGAAGTGTCACTTCACAATTACTAGACAAGACAATTACTTCAAATGACCAAAACCCTAAGCAGCAAGAGAAATGTTTCTGCTAAACATGGCAATGTAACAACTTCCACTTGTTCTACTAGTGACAAAAAATGAGTGAAAACAGTGATGAAGGGAAATAAAGGAACAAGGAGAAAATGTAGATATCAGTGAGGCAATAATGTGGAACTTCAGAATAAGACATACAATCCAGTGGCTCTTTAACAAGACTACCCACCTTCCCTCCCAAAAAGCTTAAGTTTTATTTCTAATATCACAGTATTATTTCTTGATAAAAATCACATCTGTTTTAAGGATAAATTAATGTACTTCTAGATAAAGTATGTCAATTGATATGGAAGAAGTAGCTTATCAGTCTAAGTTAAAGAAGGATATAGAATAGGCTATACTGAATGTTTATGAATACAAGTAAAAAATACAAATGAGCAAATATAATAAAGACGAAGAACACCTCGCCACCCGAGATATAGCATACCAGACGGGCCTCGTACCATCTGCTCGTGTAGTGAAGAGGCGATCACGCACTTTTTCGTACAGTACCATTCGTGTACCTGAGTATATCAAGTGTCTGTGGACCAAAAAAAAAAATTGAATTACTATTTGCATACTGTATACACAAGCATATTACAATCCAATGTACTTTCAAATTTAAGAGGTTATAAGTCACATGGGTTATTTACTGAGACCAATTAAAATAATTTATGCAGTTCAGATAGCACAATGCTCAATACAATAGTTCTCTGCACAATGTGATTCTATGTTCAAATCTTGAGCTCTTCAAGGTAACCTCAAGGTAAAGTGAGCTTGCATAATGATGCAAATATTTGTTTGACAATGGAGATATTACATGTGCTATTATAAACATAAATGAAAAAACAAATCCCCATAAATATTTACAGGTATATAATTTAATTATATATTAAGTATTAATTGTAACAAAACATCCTTTTCTGGTGGGCTTTGAATAGCTTCCCAAGTTTAAGTGATGGTAGTGCCCAGCCATACAAGATATCAGAGCACTGTCCCAACCCTGGTTGCATACTAGAAGCCAGGATCAGAATTTATATCTCTATATGAGGTAACAGGAGTTAGAAGATCAGAGACCAACTGAAAACCAAGACAACCCCACCAGAAGGAATAGGTGTAATAAAACAAGCAGCTGTTTGATGTAAATTTGGAATCCTGAGGTAAACAAGGCAACTCACTTTGCTGCAGGTAAATACCATTACAGCCAGAATGTCTCAGCCTGCCTGCCATTTCACTCATGATTAGAATCTCCAGCACCCCAATGGGGTAAGAAGGAAACATGGCAGGGATGAGGAGCTGTTGAGGGGCCACCATAGAAGAGCATTTCTGTCAATGCTTAATTTCTTCTGGGAGACCCCCATCAGTAGCTTTCTTGAGCTTACACCAAACAGTGCTAGCAGAGCAAGTTGGTTTTTCTGAAGGAGAGAAAAGATAAGGAAACCAAAAGGACGGACAGTGTTGACCAAAGGAGATGACGGCTGGAGAGTAAGGCCCACAACAGCAACCGTGCACTAAATGACAAAGTGTAACACATGCATGGTAAAGCCACAGATCATCCAATAAGTAGAGAAGCTAACATGCTATAGGATCATCAAATGCTTTGAGCCCAGAGAAGAACTTTGGACACACAGACAAGGCAAGTCACTACAGCAGCAGACGTATACACAACAAGATAGCTAGGGTAGATCGCTGGCTGGTCAGACTGAACACCTCCTAGATGAAAACAAACTGACTCAAGACAAGGGCCTAGCTGCTGACCCCAACACCATGATAACTACATACATGGACCTGAGGGAAATAGACAAAAAGAACAAAGGAAACCTATTTAAATTAAGAAGAGGTATGACAAGGGAACATTAGTGGAAGTTGGACACAAAATTGAGTCATAGAGATAAAAGAATATCTTGTTTCCTCTATGGGTGTTCAGGAAGTGAACACATTTAACATTCTTCAGCATTTAAGGAAGAAATTGTAAGACGCGTGAATACACAAGGAGCCAGATTCAAGTCAAAAGGAAGGCAACGAAAGCGATAAGCCTGATGCCCCACCATGAAACCTAACCAGTCCTTGAACCCCAGATGAATAGGAACATGCCAATATCTGTCCTTGAGGTCCAGGAACGCCATCCAGGCACCCAGCTCCAAAAGAAGCCGAACCTGAGACAGAGTGGTCATCCGAAAGAAGGGGGGCAAGGAATCCAGGGGTTCAGGCAGGACAAGTCCAGAATGAACCTCAGATCCACACAGTCCTGTTTCGGCATTGGAAACAGGTGGGAAACCCACCTGAGGGATAGGGTCGTTTTGACCATGCCCAAGCGCACCCACTTCAAGATGACCTGACGAAGAGCACAGGAAGAAGCCTGCCCCGCCAGCTCTGAACCCCCCCCCCCTCCCGAAGGAAAAGGAGCTGCCCAATGCCACTACAGGCCAGATGACACAACCAAAAATGCCCACAACTCGTGGGACCAAGAGTGAGCAAACAGAGCGAACATCACCCCCCCCCACCTCCAAATCGCCCCATCAACGGGGCAACCGCGAAAGGGCCAACACTCCTGACAAGAGGCTGACTGCTGAACAAAGTGATCATCGTGCCGACCAGATGATACTGGCTCCAAAGGCAACGTCAGCTCAGAAGCTTGCACCAATAGCCCACTTCAACCAGTGAAACCCCAAGCCTCAGAGAACCAACAAGTCTGACATAGGACACAACTAGACGATGCTGCCTGCAGAAACTGCATGACAGCAGCCCCCACAAACAGCAACAGACAAAACGGAGGCTGTTGAGGCTTACCTCAGTGTGTTATAGTGTGAATACCCAATTTGCCCCCATGCCAGCAGATGTCCCTTCCGACCTGAGTAAAAGCCGGAAAATCCAAAGACAACTGACTGACCTTAGACAAGGGCTACCACAAGCGAGAAAGATCTCTACAGGAGTGACTCCCGAACACCCCAGAAAAGATAACCCTGAAGTGCAAGGGCAGAGAAGATAATCCTGTGCACATGCAGCCCCAAGCACATAAGATGTCCAGGCTCATGGAACACTGCACATGGTGCAGGAATGTCCACAAAAGCAAAACACTGGAGCCTAAGCACCAGAGGCAACCATGCACACACTATACACATCAGCATAGAACTGAGGGTGGTGGTGTTAACTGACCACAAGCTATCCTCCTCCATCCAAACGAGTAGAGAATGTGGGGCGAATGAGTGGGTGCTAGTTTCAAAACTTTCTATCATTTGTTTAGATTCCTGAAAGAATTCTGTTGCCAGTTCTCGAAGCTTCTGTCTTTTCTAAAGCCAGCAGTGATTTGTTTGGTTTTGCTGACTTTATGAGTGCCTTTCCTGGCAGTTCTGGCTCTTGGTCCCTGGTAGGCCATATAGAACTCCAGAGCTAATGCAACTTTGTAGTTGGCATGCTATCAGTGATAATAGCTTCAGGGAGCCATAAGGGGTTCCCACATTAAAAGTGTAATTGTAATCTATCCTGAGATACACGAGGCATTTGTATTTTAATAACATTACTTCATGAATGCACAACTATGAATAGATAATCAATTTACAAATGTGCCATATTTTATGGTAGATTGCCTTTGGATTGGCAACATGCGGCACATGTTTCTCACCTGTAAACAGCAGGTGTCACTCCCTGCCACAATCTCAGCATACCTTCTTCTCGTATAATCCCAACACCAGTACTGGCTAATCCTCTGTATGGTTGAGGCTGTTGGCAAAAATTATCAAAGTTTGAGACAAAATTAAAATACAGTAATAACTATAACTGTCAATTAAATCACCATAAGAGCATGAACAAATCCACAAGGGCCGTGACGAGGATTTGTGGATTTGTTCATTTGATGCATCACGTTAGTGTGATCTCTGTGTGTGACCATAAGAGCATAATTATAGAACTCCAGCTAACTGATACAGTATGCTGTACCACTTGGTAGAAAACTGAAGAATAAAGTACAAGAATAGGAAAGTGCATTCTCTTTTTGACACTCCAATGAGTGATCATACACATTTCGTATGTATGAATATGTTTGTACAGTGGTACCTCGGTTTACGAATGCCCCTCTTTACGAACTTTTTGGGTTATGATCCCGATTTCTTCGGAAAATTTGAATCAGGTTACGAAATTTCCCTCAGGATACGAGTTTGTTGATACGCGTATGGCCGACCTAGGGCGTGATGACACGGCGATTGCTCAACAGTTTACCAGTGCCTCCCACCAAGTGACTATCCCGCCTGAATTCTTTGCAAGGATTTACAGTTTTTTTTTTTCAGATTTTTAGCTATTTGAGCATAATATTTGTTATTATATATCTTGCCATGGGTCCCAAGAAAGCCAGTGGTAAGGTTCAAGGCAAGAAAACACATGTAAGAATAACCATAGAGGGAAAAAAAAAGAGATCATTCGTAAACATGAAAATGGTACATGTGCTGTTGAACTAGATAGGCAGTACAACAAATCTTCAGGAGGAGGCAGTAAAGGATGTTCCTTCCTCATTAATTAAAAAAATGTGTGCAGTATGGGAAGAACTGCAAAGTTTTGCTAAAAAGAATCACCCAGATAAAGCTGTAGCAGGCCGTTGCATTGATCTTATTAATGACATTGTGATGTCTCACTACAGACAAGTGTTATAAAGAAGGAAAAGACAGTCTTCAATGGAACAATTTCTAGTGAGAAAATCAAGCAGTGAGCCAGAAGCAGGTCCTAGTGGTATGCAGGCAAAACGTGCCAGTGTGTGTACCCTAGAGAAGTCATCACTGCCTGATGTTATAATGGAAGGGGACTCCCCTTCCAAACAGTAACACCTCTCCTCTTCCCTTCCCTCCTCACCGTCTTCCATACGCCAACAGGAGTCATAAGTAAAGGCAAGTAATAACTCGTATGTACTTTTGTACTAATTGGGTGAATTAGGTATAAAATTTACTTTGAAGTTAATTTTTTTAGGGAGTCTGGAATGAATCAATTCATTTCCCATTATTTCTTATGGGGAAATTCGCTTCAGTTTACGAATTTTCTCCAGGAACGGATTAAATTTGTAAACCGAGGTACCCCTGTACATATGATCTAATCATACTATTAATGCAACAAACAATATAGGGAACAAACAAAAACCAGTGCTGAATGTAATGAAATGCCTTTTTCTGGGTAGAGCCCCAGAGGCTCCCTAGAGCTATTACACTAATATTAGCTAATATTAGTATGGGGCTTCAGTCATACGGAGTTGTCGAGACTACCGAAGACCACTAGCCAGAACATGGTCCCCTCAGAGAGGCACAGGGAGCAATGGCCTATGAAACTCTCATGTATGAAAGTAATCATGTCTGCCATCGACCGAGGTTGAGCACCCAGAGGGGGTAGAACAGAGGTTACCTTGAGGTGCTTCCGGGGCTTAGCGTCCCCGCGGCCCGGTCGTCAACCAGGCCCTCCTGGTAGAAAAATTGCAACCCGAGACCAAACTGCTCGTTCATCTCAACCCCCTTTCCCTCGAAAGGGGGAGAAGGGGTGGTCCCAGCCCACCAAGCCAGCAGCCGGACCATCAGTTTGGAGACTGAAAAACGAAAACAAACACCGCTAACCAGGGGAAGGGAGGGTGCCAGGGAGCCTACGGGTCAACACCAGAAAATGGCATTTCATTACATTCAATGCTGATTTTCTGTGGGGGAGCCACGTCTGCTCGATGGAGCTAACTTCCCAAAAAGAAAGAAAATAGAGTCTTACCCGAGAGGCGACAGTACTGCACAACTCGTAACGAAGATGAGACAACTAGCTGCAACCGCCAACCCATGACAAGTCCGCTGAAGCGCAAGGGCAGAGAGCCTGGCACAGGAACAAAATAACAGGCAACCAGGTCCGTGTACAATCTCCAAACCTCCTCCGCATCCGAATGTCAGCCCAAGACATATTACCAAACACAGCAGCCAAAGCTGCGAACTTACGAACATCATGGGCATGAGGGTAGATCACAAGCTGACTAGATCTGATAACCCCACGGAGGTCCTGAGAGACCCCGAGCCCTGGATCAGGGAACAAGAGAAACCAGGTCAACCTACAGCGCATCCCCAGACACTGAAGCCGAGGCACACAGGTAATGGCGTAAAGCCAACCGGACACTAAACATGATGCACCCCCAGCCTTACCCACCAAGCATCAATAATGCATGGACTCCTCTAGAAACCTGCCATCTCATTCTTCACCAGAAAGGAAGGAGACGGCTGCAAACTAACAAAACATCCACCCAGACCAAAAGAGCAAACGTCCTCTCTTATGTGCTGGAGAAGAGCATGAAACTCCCCGACCTGACCCCCAGAAGCGTGACAGTATTCAGCATAAGATGCCTGTCCTGAAAGAACCAAGAAAGAAAAACCAACACAACACAAACCGAAACCAAAGACATCCTATGCAGGGAAAGGAAGTGGTGAAAAGACCGTCAAGAGACTTCATACTGCCGCTGAGAAGAAGACTGCAGGTGGGACACCATTAGTCAACCTGGTCACCATACAGATGGTGATACACCTGCGTCAGAAATTCCAGACGCAACTTGCGGAAGAGTAGAGCAAACCAGCAAGGTAGCTCACCGGCCCAATCTGCTGAAAGAGGCAGAGCCGCGGAAAATGCCCCGGGTTCAGACACCGAGCAAGCAGCGCTTGAAACCATGGCTGGGCCAGCCACCATGGAGCCAGAAGGAGAACCCTCCCCCAATAGGACTTGCGCTGAGCCAGAACCCGAAGCAACAGCTGAACCAGGTAAAGATATATTGTACAGGCAACCCCACCTCAACCAGTCTTGCTGAAAAGAGTCTACCGTGATGGCCTCGCAGTCGGGAAAGGGCGCCACATAGAGAGACGCCGTTACCACGCCAATGCAAAAAGGTCCACCTCCAGGGGCCCAATCATCTGGCAAAACCAATGGAACAGGTTGTCATTGACCGTCCATGCCATGGACAGGGGAAAGAACCGTGACAGGCCCTCCACCAGAACGTTGGACATGCCTCGGATATGAACCGCAGAGAGCTAAACCCCGAGAACTCAGCAGAAGAGCCCCCAAAGCGACCAGCCCCAAAAAGCCACAGACCATAGAGACCCCACCCCCCCCCACGGTTCAGGCAATGAACCACCGGAGCGCAGTCTGAATGAAGTTGGATCGTAGAGCCCCGAGCAAGCCGAATCCGACACAGTGCAAGCCATATAGCCGCAAATTCCCTCTCTGTACTAGAAGCCCGACCAAAGGACGGAGCCCATCACCCCTAGCCAGCCTAGTGAGCACTGGACACAAAACCCCAGTCTAGAGAGGAGGCATTCATGAACACATTGAGGCAGGGCTCCAGGAGGTCCCAAGGTACCAAACCCTGAAAAGCCCAAAGAGGAAGCCGGCGACATAGCAGCTGGTGCGTAGCCTCCGGGGGATGAACCCAGCTATCGAGAGGGGTGGAAGGGATGGCCCCAAAGGAACCAGAACACCGCAACCAAATCTGTTCAGCGGGTAAACGAACACAGCGAAGTTCAAACTACCACACAGTTGCTCAAGCAACTGCTGAGTGACCCGGGATCCTCTCAGAAACAGATGACGACAGGACTGCAGCCAGAGCAATGCTGCATGAGGGAGAGCAAGGACATCGTCCAGGAATCTCAGACAAGACCCAGCCAAGTCTGAACCTGAGATGGAACCGGATGGGACTTCCTCCATTTCACCAAGAACCCAAACAAACGAGTTGAGAAAGAACCAAAGCCATGGAAAGCAGACACATGTACTGGTTGGGAGCCCACACCAACCAGTCGTCTAGGTAGGCTAAACCCGAACACTAAGCAGATGCAGACGGGCCACCACAACCTGGGTAAGACATGCAAAAACACAAAGTGCCAGATTCATTCCAAAATGTAGGCAACGAAAGTGGTAAGCCTGCCGCCCCAACAAAAAACCAAACCAGACTCTGAACCCCGGATGAATGGGAATGTGCCAATACGTGTCCCGGAGGTGAAGAACCAGGAATCTCCCAATGCAACTAGGATGGGAACAAGGAACCAGATCTAAAAAAGACCCGGGCCAGAAGAGAGGCAAAGACCGTGTCTCACAGGAGGTAACCACTAAGTGCCTCCCAAACCTCCACATGGGAAATCCGAGAGGAAAATCCCGGAAAACGAATATGAAGAACCCAAAGGAACCAGGAAACGAAGCCCGAACCACCACAGTCGCCGGCAAAAACGCACCATGAAAAGAAATAGTGTCAACAGGTGGCCATATAACAGGTACAAAAACATACAAACATATATATATATATATATATATATAAATATATATACATATACACAAATATACACACACAGAAGTGGCATCTGTGGGACAAACACCACCAGAAGGTGAAAAACGCCCTAAAAAATGTGAGGGCACACCCCTAGCCACATGAAAACAAACAAGATGTAGCACTGCCCTGGTGGCCGGGCCGAGGAGCGCACACAGAAAAGCAAAATGGCCACCAAATCAAACCAGCCAAGTCAACTCGCAGGAAGCAATGGCGCCGAAATCACGCCTACAAATGTGGGAACCAACACAGATGGGAGGAGGGAACAAAAAATCCCACCCAGAAGGCACAAAAGCTCAAGCTCTGCAGGCAGGCTCCGCCCAAAGCCCCTGGGACCCCAAGGGGCAGAGGGGGGGTCCACAATGCCATCCACCATTGAAGAAAAGGCAGAGATCAAGGAAAAGGCAGCAAAGAAAGGGTCCTGCTGGAAGGACCCTGAAGCCTTGGCAGGAGGAACAGGCTTGAGTGCCTCTGTCCCCCACATGGAATGGGGCAACCATTGGAGCCGTTGACAAAATCACAACAGAATATTGCCAGGGTACAGCAGATGACTTCTGACTCTTGTTAGCATGCTTAGAGCTTTCCTTTCCTGAATCTCATGCTAAGTCTTACCCTACTAGTTTTCCCTGGAACATGGCCAGCCAATCAGTTTCCAAGAAGGCACTCAATACAACTGGGAGAACAAGGGGTGGATATTTAAGGATCAGTACTCAGTTTTTGTTTTGGTGGTTAGCCACCTTTTAAAAACATTTCACAGATACTTCCACCACAGAAGCTCAGGAAAGTTTCTGTGGTGGAAGCCACTTCTAAGTGGGGAGTTCATGTAAACAATTATGCATCCACTCTTAAGACAACCTGTTGCCATACTCCTTGAACTCAAATGAGTATATGTATCCAAAGTTGACACATTAATTGTAAGTGATTGTCATTCCTAATTGCACAACTCACCAAGACCTAACTGTAACATGCTTGTGTTTGAAGCAAAGCACAAATGTAATAAAAATTACTGTACAGTATTAATTATGGAATCAGAATTTGTCTCCTATTGTCCATATTGTCTCCCGGTCCATATTGGCCTCTAAATGTATAATAGAACTGACAAATTACCCAAAGCATATGCTCTTAATTTAAAGAAGGAGTTCATTACCACCTTGGATTGCCTTTCAGCGCCTGAGGGCAGTAATATACCTAGAACTCCAACAAAATGTAACAGACACAAGATAAAGTGAAGCTGACACCAGTTATTCTATCATTATACTGTACTACTATGCAGGAGCCACATATCTATAGGTCAATCAATAAGGTCAGTAGCCTTCTAGAAATTTCTACTGCTAGTTTTAGGCTTGACTACAAGTATCTCTGGGAGTTTGCACCACCTAGATTAGAGCTGGTGGTGCAGCCACCACTCTAACTCACCACCAGCTCTTGCACCACGAGAGTAGCATGAGTAGCCCTGAGTAAGTCCCAGGGCTCTGTCCAGGAGCCTCTTCTGTTTACCAATCTTTATATATAAATGATTTAGATACAGGATAGAGAAACAATAAATGAAATGACTCAAAATCCCACAAGATGATCTAGATAGGTTTGTGAAATCGACAAAAGATTGACATGCCGTTTAATGCATCTGTGATGCATTAACACTATCGCACGCGGTTCGTGCGTGCCGCAGACTTAGACGTCATGCTCCCGATGGTGCGGGCGAACGTGTGGCGACACCTAAATGTGTATACTCATTTCAGTTTTCTCACCTTAATTCTCATGCTACGTCGTTCGTTTTGGTATCATTGTGTTCGCAATAGGATTCTCTACAGGGGTATATGCATATAAGGTCTAAAAGTCCGGAGTGACTTCCCACAGCAAAGCCTAAAGTCGGTCAAGTTACCCGTGAACCAGCACCAATTGGCACACCTGTAGTCTAATGTATATACTCGTTCAGTTTGATAGCATAAATTTTCGTGTTACATGTTTCATTTTGGTATCAAATTGTTCGCAAAATAAAGGTGCGTATTTTAAAACTAGTCTCAATAATAATAATAGAACAATAAATTGAATTTTAGCAAATATTTTAACTTTAGAACGCTCATCACCACAAAATTATTTATATATCTCTAGTGTTCTGACACCAATTTTCGTGTTACGTCTTTCATTTTGGTATCAAATTGTTCGCAATATAAAGGCGCGTATTTTAAAACTAGTCCCATAGTAATAGAACAATAAATGGAATTTTAGCAAATATTTTAAAATTTGGACCACAAAAGTATTTATTATCTTTCTGACATCAATTTTCACATCACGTCTTTCATTTTGGTATCAAATTGTTTGCAATATAAAGGAGCGTATTTGAAAACTAGTCCCATAATAATAGAACAATAAATGGAATTTTAACAAATATTTTAACTTTTGGACAATTTTTGACTCGTCACCACAAAATGATTTATACCTTTCCAGTGTTCTGACATCAATTTTCGCGTCACGTCTTTCATTTAGGTATCAAATTGTTCGCAGTATAAAGGCGCATATTTTAAAACTACTGTAGTCCCATAATAATAGAACAATAAATGGAATTTTAACAAATATTTTAACTTTTGGACAATTTTTGACTCTCGTCACCACAAAATTATTTATATCTTTCCAGTGTTCTGACATCAATTTTCTGACTCAAGACGGAGGCAATGGAGATGACTCAAGAGAAAAATGCATGACTACGGGGGGAGGCAGTGGAGCACGATAGTGTTAATTAATAATAATGAGGATATGAATGACCAGATAATGCATATCAAACCACCTTGTGTAAGTCGTGGAGCAACGAGTAAAAAACTAACCTGTAAAGAATTTTAAATATTTTGGGAGAAATCAACTTGTCAAATGGCTGTTTCACATGCAGAACTGCTCATCTAACCCACCCATGGGACTAGGTAAAGCACAACAAAAAGACACTATAGCAAAATGAATGCTACTCACCTGACAACTTCCATTTAGTCCTTTCTCCCCCTGGATCTGCAAACGCGTTTTTGTCAGGTCCAAGGGATAGGTAACTGAAATAAACAATGTTCCTTCACTTCACTTATAACTGGGAATCATTTGTCAAAAGATTATGAAGAAATATTTATCCTCTAGAAAGTTGTGGATACACTTGTAGCATGGAGTAAGAAAGACTTAAGGCAGAAACCTAAGTTAATTGAGATGGGTGATTAGGAGAAAAAGAGGGAGGGAAGAGGAAGGAGAAGGGGAAGAGAAAAGGGAGAAGGATAATACAAAAGGCACAAGGGAACAAGGAAGGGCAAAAGAAGGGAGATAGAGATAGAAAAGGAGGAAGATGGTAGGAAAAACCTAGTATTGAATGTAGTGAATTCCTCTTTCTAGTAGAACCCTGGTGGCTTACGGAAGCTATTTTGCCAAGGTCACTTCACCTACTGGGTCTCGGTAGTCACAGGAATTCTGTTTGGCCTAGCGGGGACCAGAGCCAGAATCTGGCCCCCCATCAGATGCGCAGAAAACGAGTGACTTAATGCTTCTACTACCCCAGGAAAAGCATTCATTAAGTCAGCAGTAAACTTTACAGACAACTGGAGCATTCATGAAGCGTCGAAACCGCCAAATAACTCGGGCAAACGATTCAAACAAAGCAATGGATTCTCTCAGAGTAGTACTGATAGCACCACCAGGCATCTGATGAATAACCCATCAAATAACTGATGAACCCGGAGGGAAGGACAAGAATCAGGGAGCCCTTGAGCTCTACCAGAAAGATGCACTTTATTACATAGCATGCTAGGTTTCAGAGGGCACCCTCCCTGGTGGCTTCCTGAAGAGAACAAACCACAGAGAACAAAGACACATTCAAAAGGTGACACCCCTAGTGTCAGCACCTGCATCAGAGGAGCTCCAGGATATTTCACAATTCCTAAGTATTGTAGGACAGATTGATGATAGCGAGTGGTGTCCCAAGGAACATAAAAGTGTAGTGCTTTGGAAAAATAGGTGAGAACACGAATGTGCAAAGTGAAGTGAAAAATTGGATGAGAAAAAGTGACCCTAGTTCAAGTTCAATTATGTTTATCGAGACAAGAAAGAAATACATCTCAAAGGGATAGAGTAGCTTAGGCTATTTCTACCCCCCCCCATGACCCTAGTGTTTACAGTGCAGACAACAACATTCAAGATGGCCACCAGCAAGAAGGAAAAGAAAACAAAGCTAGATTTTGGGGGTTTTAATGAAGAAAGCATTGATATAAACAGTCTACACAACATATTGGCAAAATTAGATATTATAGTGAACTATCATGTAGAAATAATCAGCAAATTGAAAGAAAGTAATGAGCACTTGAGTAGCAAGGTTTTAGGTCTTGAGGGGTTAGTGAAATACTTATGCAAGGACAAGAATCAATTGGAAACAAATTGCAAAGCTATGGAAGAGGAAAATAAACTCTTAAGAATAGCTTTGGAAGAAGTTAAAGCAAATTTAAACTTAAATGACTACAATAGGTTAGGTAAGGAAATTCAACAGGAAAAACAGCTTTTGTCCATACAGATGGAGGAAGTTACACAGGGAATAGAACAGTGCAAGAAAGATATGCAACTCACCTACGCACAAGTGGCCAAGGAGAAGGAAAAATGGAAGAAGCAGTAAAGGAAGCCAAACACTGCAGCAACCAGGATAAAACAAACATTAGGCTGGAAGTCAGAAAGGAACAGCATCAAATCCTAAATTGTTGCAACACACAGTTGATCGACGTCTCTGATAATTTTTGGTTGCAAAGAAAAGGAGATAACATCTACGGCAGAAAGAGCTGTAGAAGAAGAGAAAGCAGTAGATAAAATTGCTGGCCTCGTGGAAGGTCTTACTACCATCGAGAATGTCTGCGACTACAGAAGGATTGGAAAGCACGTAAAAGGGGAAGATCGACCGTTGAGGATCACCCTAAACAGTGCCAAACAGATGGAAGAAGTACTAAGGAATGCTAGAAAATTACAAAGTGATGAGGTAGGGAAAAGTATGCTCATTAAGACGAGATCTTTCAAAAGAAGAAAGAGAAGCTGTAACTGAACTTCGCCGAGGAAAACGTTTAAATGAGAGCAGGAATGAAGAAAAGAACAATTCTTTTTATTACAAAGTGATAGGGGTAGGCAGACCAGTAAAGTGGCACATAAAGGCAAACCAACAAAATCATTAGAGAGAGGAGGAGTGAAGAATAAGGAGAGGGGAAACAAGTTCCTGAAAATTGCATACACCACCATAGATGGAGTGAGATCAAAGATACTGGAGTTAAGTGATGTAATACTGCTGCAGACACCAGACATTGTTGCACTCATGGAGACAAAACTTGAAGATGATATTTTAAATGAGGTCATATTCCCAAGGGGCTACTCGGTCTGGAGATGGTACAGAAAAATTAGTTAAGGTGGTGGCCTTGCTGTGCTGGTGAAAAAACACCTATAGGTATACGAAATAATGATTGCCAATCCACGAGAAGTTGACATAATAGCACTAGAAATATGCAATCAGGATGATAAACTTATGATCATAAATGCATATCATCTACCGCCAAGCAACACATGGACAAAGGAGGAGCTAGATAATAAACGAGAGGGTCTTATAACAATAATGAGAGAAATTATAGCGAGAGCTGATAAAGATAGATCACGACTGTTGGTAGTCGGCGACTTCAACTTGAAATCCATAAACTGGGAAACATATGAAGCTAGAACAGAGGATTTTTGGACTTGTAGATTCATAAACCTCATCCTGGAAACATTCATGTTTCAATATGTTAAACAAGCTACGAGGATGAGGGAAGGGGATGTTCCCTCCATGCTGGATTTGATATTTACCAGGAAAGAGGAAGAGATATTAGACATTCAATACTTCCCTCCCTTGGGTAAAAGTGACCATGTCTTTTTGGGAATAAAGTATGCAATGCATTATAATCTGGAAGAAAATGGGGTTGAAGCAGTTGAAAAGCCTGATTTCAGGGGAGGTCATTATGGGGAACTCAGACATTTCTTTAAGGAATTTGATTGGAAAGACTTGCTGTTAGGACATGAAGTAAATGAGATGTATGTCAAGTTTTGTGAAACATATGATAAAGGCACAAAAAAATTTATACCAAAGCAGAGATGCAGAACTAGGAAACAGGATTGGTTCGACAGAAATTGCGAGAGGGTCAGAGACCAAAAGACACAAAAATGGAATCAATATAGGAAGAGGCCAAACCCCCAAACAAACGGCGATACAAAGATGCAAGAAACAACTACACGGCAGTGAAGAGAGAGGCAGAAAGAAATTTTGAAAAAGTGATTGCGGACAAATGTAAAACAGAACCAGGTCTATTCTATAAATTCATAAACAAGAAATTGCAGGTAAAGGATAATATTCAGATGTTGAAAATGGGAAATAGATTCACAGAAAATGAAAAGGAAATGTGTGAAACATTAAGCGAAAAGTTCCAAAGTGTGTGAGTACAAAATGAAATCTTCAGAGAACCAGACAATAAGAATTCCAGAGAACAACATAAAGCACATAGAGGTGTCTAGAGACAAAGAGGAAAAAATGCTCAAGAAGCTAAGTAAAAACAAGCAGTTGGTCCAGATAGTTTCACCATGGGTTCTTAGAGAATGTGCACATGAGCTCAGCATTCCACTTCAACTGATTTTTCAGGCATCCCTGTGTAAAGGAGTTGTAGATGATGTGAGAAAAAAAAGCCTAACATTGTTCCAATCTACAAAAGTGGCAGCAGGGAATACCCCCTCAATTATAGACCTGTATCATTGACAAGTGTAATAGTCAAAATATTGGAAAAAATAATTAAAACTAAATGGGAAAAACACCTGGAGAAAAACGATATAATATCAGACAGACAGTATGGTTTTCGATCTGGAAGATCCTGTGTAACGAATTTACTCAGTTTCTAGGATCGAGCCACAGAGATTTTACAGGAAAGAGATGGTTGGGTTGACTGCATCTATCTGGACCTAAAAGAGGCTTTTGACAGAGTTCCACATAAGAGGTTGTTCTGGAAACTGGAACATATTGGAGGGGGTGACAGGTAAGCTTCTAACATGGATGAAAAATTTCCTAACTGATAGAAAAATGAAGGCCATAATCAGAGGCAATGTATCGGATTGGAGGAATGTCACAAGTGGAGTACCACAGGGTTCAGTTCTTGCACCGGTAATGTTCATTGTCTACATAAACGATCTACCAGATGGAATGCAGAATTATATGAACATGTTTGCTGATGATGCTAAGATAATAGGAAAGATAAGAAACCTAAATGATTGTCATGCCCTTCAATACATAAGGGGCATAACTGGCCGACCCCTCACAGTGTTCAAGAGAGAACTGGATAAGCACCTCCAAAGGATACCTGATCAACCAGGCTGTGACTCATACGTTAGGCTGCGAGCAGCCGCGTCCAACAGCCTGGTTGATCAGTCCGGCAACCAGGAGGCCTGGTCGACGACCGGGCCGCGGGGACGCTAAGCCCCGGAAGCACCTCAAGGTAACCTCAAGGTAAGGTTCAAGAAGACCTGGACAAAAGTATATGGAGCACAACTTGGCAAATAAAATTTAATTTGAATAAATGCCATGTTATGGAATGTGGAATTGGAGAACACTGACCCCACACAATCTATAAATTATGTGAGAAATCTTTAAAGAATTCTGACAAAGAAAGGGATCTAGGGGTGGTTCTAGATAGAAAACTGTCACCTGAGAACCACATTAAGGACATTGTGCGAGGAGCCTATGCTACACTTTCTAACTTCAGAATTGCTTTTAAATACTGTACATGGATGGCGAAATACGAAAGAAATTGTTCACGACTTTTATTAGACCAAAGCTGGAATATGCAGCAGTTGTATGGTGCCCATATCTTAAGAAGCACATCAACAAACTGGAAAAGGTGCAAAGGCATGCCACTAAGTGGCTCCCAGAACTGAAGGACATGAACTACAAGGACAGGTTAGAGGCATTAAATATGCAAAAACTAGAAGACAGAAAGAAAAGAGGCAATATGATCACTACATACAAAACAGTAACAGGAATCGATAAAACTGATAGGGAAGAATTCCCAAGACCCTGACCTTCAAGAACAAGAGGTCATAGGTTTAAACTAACGAAACAAAGCTGCTGGAGAAATATTAGAAAATTTCCTTTTGTAAACAGTGGTAGACGGTTGGAACAAGTTAGGCGAGAAGGTGGTGGAGGCCAAAACCGTCAGTAATTTCTAAGCGCTATATGACAGTGTGCTGGGAAGACGGGACACTACGAGCGTAGCTCTCATCCTGTAACTACACTTAGGTAATTACACATGACTAACCAGGGATTCCATCACAATGGTTGTACTCTTCAAATCACTTGTGTTGTCCCGTCTTGAGTACTGCTCAGTACTCACTTCCCCCTTCAGAGCAGGAGAGATTGCTGAAATAGAGCGAATACAAAGAACACATACGGCACGCACAGACGAGATAAAGCACCTAAATTATTGGGATCGTCTCAAAGCTCTCCAAATGTACTCACTAGAAAGGATGCGAGTGAGATACCAAATAATATACACATGGGAAAATACTGGAAGGCCAGGTCCCAAATCTACACAGTAAAATAACAACGTACTGGAGTGAATGATATGGAAGAAAATGCAGAATAGAACCAGTAAAGAGCAGGGGTGCCATAGGCACAATCAGAGAGCACTGTATAAACATCAGAGGTCCACGGTTGTTCAACGTCCTACCAGCGACTATCAGAAATATTGCCGGAACAACAGTGGACATCTTCAAAAAAAAACTAGACTGTTTTCTCCAAGGAGTGCCGGACCAACTGGGCTGTGGTGGGTATGTGGGTCTGCGGGCCACTCCAAGCAATAGCCTGGTAGACCAAACTCTCACAAGTTAAGCCTGGCCTCAGGCCGGGCTTGGGGAGTAGAACTCCCAGAACCCCCATCAACCAGTTATCAACCAGGTATGGTGGCTTCTTACTATCTCACCATGGTGAGCAAACACAAAGTAGAACTCACTAGGGGTAGAAGAGAACAGAAGCCTGTAACCCTTGCAGGAGAGGGAACAAGTAATGAGTCACTCTACCCAATACCAAACAAGCCTGGTGATGCCCCAGAACATTGAAGAGGGGGGCAACGGCATCCTGGTGGACCATACGTGGTGTACAGCGAGCAAAAACCTAATGCTACTTCTATGTTCAAAAAGTGAAGCCACTGCTGTGCAACCATGAACAATAGAGCAGTCTGGGAAAAAATTTATCTAGGACTCACAAAGGCCTGTAAACACTACAGGCAAATCCTTACAAGCTAAGCCTGTGACAAAATTCAAAGGTCCAGAAAAGTGAAACCAGGTCAAACCTAATTTAAAATTTGGTCTCTGCCTGAACATGGAACACAAACATGAGTGCAGTATTTGAGCAGGTCTGGGGGTAGGGACTGGTAGGTATGTGTGGCACTGCTGGCTGGTGGTGGCCAACAATGTTATGCAAGTAGGCCAACTGGTAGTTTACTAAGGCATTTTCTAGATAGCCACCTGTAATTACCTAAGTGTAATTACCTAGGTGTAGTTACAGGATGAGAGCTATGTTTGTGGTAGCTGTGATGTCACAGAAATGTTGTCTAGGTTACAGAAATGTTGTATAGGTTACAGGTTTTATGAATGAACAGCTGTCATTCTAAGCAGAATGATTTATTCTCCAGAGACTCCCTATTACATTATGACTCTGCAGGGACAGTTTGAAATGATCCCTGTGGTGCCTGACGCCGCATGATCCTGTCATATAGACATCTCTAATCTTAGGGAGCGGCTGAATGAGATATCTTGGAAAATGTTTAGCTATCAATATTTACTTATCACTGTAAATCTACAAGGGCTGTGATATACTGTATGGAGAATATTCTGTAAATACAACCCAGTATGATAGAATGACAAGGACATAGATACAGTGCATGTAATATTTTATAAATACATTAATTATATTGATAGGTGATAGCAATTTAATGGCAAGATTCAATATAAGCTAAAATAATTTTAAAATTTACTGTCTAATGCTTGTATGTTAAAATAATACTTTCTAAAAATTCTATATTTAAAGAATTCCCACTTCTTATAAACTATATAAGTACTATATACTAATTCTATAAACTACGAGAACTATATAAAATTCTATACTTAAATTCTATAATTTTATTCTTTCTAAAAATTATTTTTATCATCCCTGTACAGTATCAGGAAACTCACCCATTTCCGCTGTGGTAGCTGCACAGCATGATAGAATATATTTAAACCAGACAGAGTCAGCATAGTGTTTTGGGGGCGGAATGACCCCCCGCTGTGCTACTACCATCCTGAAATAATTTAATTATTTATTAAATGATATTCACTTACATCAATAATAAAATTAGTATAGGGTTATACAAATGTAGAAAAAAAAAAAAAAAAGTGCTGAATGTAATGAAACGCCAGTTTCTGGGCGAGCCCCGGAGGCTTCTGAAGATATCCTACCGATATAGTGCTGTATTAGTTGGGGTCATCAATCGCAGAGTTCTTGTTGCCTACACGGTACCAAAGCCAGAATCTAGCCCCCTCAGAGAGGCACAGAGAGCAATGGCCAATGAGCACTTTACATTTAAAGTACTGTACTGTATGTCATATTTTTCCATCTTATTATCTACCAGGAAAAGCACCCAGAATGATAGACGAATCTATACAAACCACTGTCTGGTTGAATATTGCGAGCTACGTCCTCAAAATAGCAAAAGAACTTTCCCAGAATGAAAACAAACAAGCAATGCATCATCCAACTAGCCCCTCGCTCATTAACTCCCTTCCCCCCCAGCCTGGGTGAGCCAGCAACCCACCAATTTAGTTCTAGAATGATAAAAGCCGCCAACCTAAGTGAGAGGGTGGGGGTGTCAGGAAGCCTCTGGGGCTCACCCAGAGACTGCCATTTCATTACATTCAATGTTAGTTTTCTGTGGGAAGCCCCATTGGTTCCCTGAGACTAACTACCCACAGAGAAGGCAAACAGGGACTAACCAGGAAGGTGGCAGCAACACAGGTCTCAAATTGAGAAAGAGACAGACGGCCACAATAGGCGCCCAAAGGCCACAGAGGACCTGGGACGTGCACTACATACCTGGCGGTCAAAGCCCTGTTCGACCTCCAAAACCCCATGACCGATTATCATCCAAAGACATGCTGTATTATCAAGAACAGCTGAAAGAGTGGCATACTTCCTAACATCATGGGCATGAAGGTAGACCGCTGGTTGGCTAAACATAAGAACACTGCAGACAACCAGTACAACACAAGCCCTGGTACAGGAAACCAGGAAAACCATATTAACCCAGAGCACAGCCACTGACACAGAATCGGTGGCCTGCAGGTAGCAGTGTAAAGCAGCTACCAACCAACCAACCAAGCATCCACACCCAATGATCCCCTTTGGAAGCCCGCCATCACATTCTCCGCCAAAAAAGGAGACGGCTGCAAACGAACAAAATGATCCCCAGGACCAAAGTAACAAAACCTCCAGGCACTGGAGAAGAGCATCTAGCTCCCCAATCTGACCTCCAGAGGCTAAGGCCAACAAAAACAACGCCTTTCAAAAACAATCACAAACCGAAGAGAAGAAAGAAAAGAAAGAACCCAGTCCAATGACCATGAAGGCTTAGACAGCGCATGAGCAGGCCGGAGATGAAATAATACACAAGAAAGCTTATGAAACAGAGTGGAAGTAACATCCATCCTGAACTCAAGCTGCAGCGGCCCCGCAAATGCCGCACGAGAAGAAGTGACAGTATTAGGCAAGAGATGCCAATTTAGAACAAGCTACGAGCGAAAGGGCAAAACAACCCGTTTCGAAACCGACAAAACTCAACGAAGAAAAAGAAAATGGTGGAAAGACCATGAAGAGACTTCATACTGTCACCGAAACGAAGTCGGTAGGTGGGACACCATCAAAGACGCCCCCTGATCACCATACAAATGGAGATACACGTGTCAGAAATGTAAGACGCGGAACGCAGAGGAGCAATTCAAACTAGCGAGGTTCCTCACCAAACCAACCTGCTGAAAAAGGCGGAGCTGCAGAAATAAAAAACTGCCCAGGTTTACCTAGCAAGCAGTGTCTGAAACCAAGGCTGGACTAGCCACTATGGAGCCAGGAGAGAACTCTTTCCCGAAAGGATTCCAGCCGACCCAGAACCCGGAGCAACAGTTGGACTGGGGTGAAGAGGTATAGGAGCCCTCACCTCGAACAGTCCTGCCGAAAAGCATCCACCATGAGAGCCTCGCAGTTGGGGAACTGTGCTACATACAATGGGAGACGCTGAGACCATGCTGACTCGAAGAGGTCCACCTCTAGGCGCCCATACGTCCTGCAAAGGAAGGAAGAGGCATCGACCATCCACTCCACAGAATGAGGAATAAAGTGTGACAGGCCATCAGCTAGGACATTATCTTGAGGTTATCTTGAGATGATTTCGGGGCTTTTTAGTGTCCCCGCGGCCCGGTCCTCGACCAGGCCTCCACCCCCAGGAAGCAGCCCGTGACAGCTGACTAACACCCAGGTACCTATATTACTGCTAGGTAACAGGGGCATAGGGTGAAAGAAACTCTGCCCATTGTTTCTCGCCGGCGCCTGGGATCGAACCCAGGACCACAGGATCACAAGACCAGCGTGCTCTCCGCTCGGCTGACCGGCTCCCCTTGGACACTTTCTGAATGTGAACGGCGCGGAAAGCTAAACCCCGAGAATTCAGCAGAAGAGCTACCCAAAGCAACCAGCCCCAAAGAGCTATGGACTGAAGAGACATCCCTCCCAGTTGAGACAATGAACCACAGGGGAGCAGTTTAAATGGAGCCAGATCACCGAGCCCAGTGGAACCTGAATCTTCCACAGCGCCAGCCACAAAACCTATAGGGCGCTGGTGGCTAAGTGGATAGCATGCTGGATACGTAGTCCTGTGGTCCGGGGTTTGATTCCCGGTGCCGGCGGAAACAATAATGGGCAGTTACTTTCACCCTGATAGCCCTGTTACCTAGCAGTAAATAGGTACCTGGGAGTTAAACAGCTGTTACCGGCTGCTTTCGGGGGGGGGGGGGGGGGGGGGGATGTATATGTGAAAAAAAACAAAAAATAAATTAGTTAGTAGTAAGTAAAAGTTGATCGATTGATAGTAGAGAGTTAGAGCAGAGCTCAGCCCTCCTCAAGCACAACTAGGTGAATACAGCCGCAAACTCCCTCACCATGCTGGGAACCCGATGCAAGGACAACGCCTTGTCACAAATCCCAAGACTACCGACCAGGCTTCTGTGAACACATCGAGTGAGGGAGGAGGAAGGTGCCATGGTACCGAACCCCAAAAAACCTAAAGAGGAAGCCAGTGACATAGCAACCAGCTCTGAGACACCGGGGGTCGAACCCAGCGATCGTGAGAGCGGCGAAAGAGGCTGCCCATAAGATACCAGAACAACCTCCGAGGCCAAACTCTGCCCAGCGGTTAAACCAGAAGAGCAAAGTTCAGGCTACCCCCACAGCTGCACGAGCAACCACCAAAGGACCCGGGTCCCCCCATAAAAACAGCCAACAGCAGGACCACAACCAGAGCAAGCCCGCGGGAGGGGGGGAAAGGGATGCAGTCCGTGAATCCAACACAAGGCCCAGCCAAGTCTGAACCTGGGACGGGACCAACTGGGACTTTTGCCAGCCCATCAAGAACCCGAACCCAGCAAGGTGGAAAAGAGCCAGATCCCTGGCAAGCAGACAAGCAGACTGGCTGGGAGCCCTCACCAACCTGTTATCAAGGTAGGCCAAAACCCGAAGACATAGCAGACAAAGACAGGCCACCACAACCTGAGCCAAACATGCTAAAATGTGAGGTGCCAGATCATCCCGAAAGGGAGACAACTGAAGCGATAAGCATGTCACCCCACAATAAAACCTAACCAAGCCCCCAACCCAGATGAATAGAGCCATGCGAATACGCATCCCTGAGGTCCAGGGAATCATCAAAGCACCCGGATCGAGAATAAGCGAGACCTGGGACAATGGGGTCACCCGAAAGGAGGAGTGAACTCACTCGGAGGTGACCCAATGGATGGACAGAAAAGAGGTCCAGAGAACCAGAGCCAGCACCAAATGAATAAGCTGCACCAGACCCCAGACCCGACCCCCTAAAAGAGGAAGAGCCGCCCAACATCACCTAAGGCCATAAGAACGACCCGAGGGACTAGGTGTTGGGGAAAGAGCAAGCCTCCCCTTCTCCCCAATTGCCCCGACAACTGGGCAACCTGCGAAAAGGCCAATATGAACCCCGAGATGCCGACCTTCATACTGTAATGACTGGTACATAAAGTCTAGCCTTTGTTGTTGTTAATATAAATGTTTCTCTTAGTTAAAATACCATTAGAAGTAAAATTAGTTAAAATACTCAGATCACAAGCTCATTGAAGTGTAAACGACCATCAATACTCAGAATAGACCTAAAACGTTGATAAAGCGAGAGGGGCTATTCAGTAAATTCAATTTTAATAATAAAAGGATTTAAATTGAGAGATAATAAACAGGGAACTTACAAACATTCCATGGGAAACTGTTCTAAGTAATACAAGTCCTACAGAAGGAATAGAAAAACTGACTTCGGAAGCGTATCAAGTCTGTCTGAAACATGTTCCTTTGAGGAAAGCCAGAAAGAGATCTAACGTAGAAAGAGAACGCAGACGACACTATAAACGCAGGAAAAAAATAACGGAACTGCTTATGCAGACACGAATTTCCCGTCAAAGAAGGAATAATTTAAATAGGGAGATTGAAGAAATCGAGCGGAAATTGAAAGACTCATATGAAACTGAAGAAAGGCAGTTAGAACAGAAAGCAATTCAGGAAATAAAGAAAAATCCAAAATATTTCTTCTCATATGCGAAATCAAAAGCAAAAACCACTGCCAGTATTGAACCTATTCTTACAAGTGAAGGTTCATACACGGAGGATGACAAAGAAATTAATGAAATCCTAAAAAAGCAGTATGAGGACATGTTTAGCACTCCAATAAACAACATGAAAGTGGAAGATCCAGACAATTTCTTTATGCGGGATATTCAAACCCCTGTAAATATAACTGATATCAACACGAGCGCACTAAATTTTGAAAGAGAAATTGAAAACATGCCCATGCACTCGGCCCCAGGTCCAGACTCATGGAATTCAATATTTATAAAGAAATGCAAAGTGCCGGTAGCACAGGCCCTCAGTATAGTGTGGAGGAAGAGCTTGGACACGGGGAAGATACCAGATGCACTTAAAGTAGCAGACATAGCCCCTCTACACAAGGGAGGGAGCAAA